TCCCTTATGATATTACCATTAAATAGTGTTAAGTCAATGAATAGGATTTTAATGTTTCTCATTCATTGAAGTGTTATGATCGCTATGCATCTCCATCCATTCAACAAACTATGGTTCGTTGGTCGCTGAAGGAGTATACATTAGAATAAAGCCGAAATTAATCATGGTACATTTTTGCACATTTTCTCTGAAGTCATTGTTTGCTTTTTGTGAGCTCTGTTGAAAAGTTCACAAGTCTGTTCAATTACCATTTCAAGAACTCAATAGAATTTCATATTTTTTTCGCTGGAATTAAATACCTGTTCTAGTTTAAAATATGATACACTTAATCGATACACATCCTTGTTTGTCTGCTTTATTAAATCATTATTAATCATTATGATGTTGAATAATTAAGTGTATAATTGTATGCTAACTGACTACACTAAGATTATTATTATTATTATTAAGTTTATTTACTCATATTTAGTGAATATGGGCTAATCCGTTGTGATGTTCATTGCATTTACAATGATATATATACTTTATGCCTTGTCAGATCGAATGAAGAGAAAACGGATAAAAACAGAGATAATGAAGAACAAAGAGAAAAAGGAAAAATACTCCCATTAGACAATGATGATGATAATGGTGCTGGACTTTCTTACAACTCAAAGTTACTAGACAAAGATGATGATTTAGCTGAAACTAGTCGGTGGGATACAGAACAACCATTATCAATCAATTCAAAGTTAACACCAATGTTCATTCCTAATTTCTTTCCTTCTACAACTCGTATAGAAGAATTATTTACCAGCAGAACAAACGATTGTCAAGAGGACAATAAATCAATGGATTCTAATACAAATTTAAGTATGAATAATAAAGTATGTTAAACTTATGATACAATAAAATTGTAATTGTTGATAATATTGATGTTTAGTTGTTGGAACAAGATGATTTAATTTTGAAGTTTTTTATTGTTGTTATGGATAACATCATCAGTTTCATACTTTTGGTAGACTTTTACAACAATGAAAATTTAGAAATTAAATCATCTAGTTTATGAAACTCATTGACATCAAAACTAATGCAACATATTCGATATTCAGTGTGTTGTATCAAGCACTGCGTTATTAGTATGATCTTTATTACAAGCAGTTATAAATAATAACAGACACTTCAAATGAGATTTTCGGTAAAATTTACACTCAAATATTTAGCACTCACCTACTAAATAAAGAGGAACATGATTTAAATCTGTTGAACCCAACACACTTATTGAATATTGAAGTCGTTCCAGCTAACCTCAATCTAAGTGCCTCGTACAAATATTTACACTATACTCCTTTACGCTCAGTGATAAAGATCAGTCAACGAGCAACGGTATTGATTATTGTGCATAATAATAGTTCGTTCATAACCTTATATCTCACTTGACAGATAAAAAGAGAATCCATAACAGATTGAGCATATTCAAATGTTAACTGGACGAACTATAAATAAGCATACGACAAATAGACAATTTAACAAAGAAGCTTTTTCAACGAAATCATTTACCTTAAGTTGTGTATTCGCATTTAGAAAAGTTTGATAAATAAATAGGTTAATAAAAAGATAGAAGAGATTTCATCACCAAGTAACCCGAGATTTCAAATATCGAGAATTGGGTAACAATCAGATGGTTAGAAAAGAATGGAGGGATGAACATAATATACGGGTCAGAATTATGAGAGATAATTGATAAACAACTATAAATATGAATAAGCAGAGATTAATGTTGGCTGGCAGTGAAATCCAGAACGCGCGTTTCGTCCTATTTGAAACTCTTTAGCTGGATGTACCTGCATACCATAGTTGGTTCACTCTGGGATTCGAACCCAGTGCTTGTGATCTAAGGCAATATCGAAGCAATCCACACAGGATGCACGTACGCCAATAAGAGACTGATCAATTACAATCCTGAACATCATTGGGAAGATTTAAACAACCAATGCAAAAATGAATTATAAATGTGACTGAATATATATCTTTAGTAAATGATTTCATCGAATAGAAAATTTCCTTTATTATTTTTACTCAATGATACAATGGGTTACTTTAATTAATTGGTATACGACATTCCGATTTATAATAATTATTCAATATTTTATAAATTTTGATCACATTTGTCAGTGAAAATCTGTAGTGTGTAATTTTCATTACTGTGACAAAACTTTACTTAATGATTTATAGATACGTTTTGTTTTAAAGCCAGTTTCCATTACGAACTGACATTGGTGGTAAACCAAAGATAATCCTACACAACCATATGGATCCTACATTTAAAACAACTTGGCAGTGTGTATCCATAAATTTTCAATACATAAAGGTTTCATATGTAATATTGGTTTATATTTTTATCTTTAGACGATTTGTGAAACTATACGATTTTAGTTTCAAGATAGAATTCTTGATATTGTCTAGTGGAAAAAGACAATCTGTGGAGTGTAAATCAATATACACAAGTCGAGATAATCCATGATTTTTAAAAAATTACCTGGTGTACCCATGGTTACTTTTCTAATATAATTTTTTTTTCCTTTTTCTCCTTATAGAATATAGATTCGTTAAGGAGTCGCTTGAATAATCGTTTATCAGAAGCTGTTCGTCACACAATAAATACATCAATGACAGATAACAACTCTCAAACAAACAATAGTACAAATTTAATCATAAATGATACATTATCCGCTTTAATTACAAATGGTTATAAGACAAGAAGTTTAAAGAAAGCAGAACGTGTTTTTAACATGACATTGAAGTGAAATTATTTTCACCAAATTTTTATTACAACATTATCTATTTAACTGGTGAAAACAAGTTTTTATTACCATTCCAAATAATTTCACCTAACAACTATTTTGTGACGTCTTTTTTTCCTTGTACATAAAAAAACATACATTACATCCCAGTGAATTTATGTTAAAATTATTCTTATCATTTTACTAATTTTCAGTTAATTAAGAGAGAACGATGTGAAGCTAAGTAATGCACTTTAATTGCTCAGTTTTCTACATATATTTTCTTCTAGAATGATATCATCCACGCTTAACCTCTTGGACTAACTAGCTATTATCAGTATGCGGGTTGTGGAGATTGTTAAGTTTTTGGTTGAAATCATGAATCAATTGATGTTAGACCACCGTTGGAAACCTGGAAGCACTGGACGGCCGTTTCGTCCTAGTATGGGACTCCTCAGCAGTGCGCATCCACGATCCCGCACCCCGCGGGATTCGAACCCAGGACCTACTGGCTTCGCACCTGAGCACTTAACCATGCCGGCTCAGTGGTCTAATGGTTTAGTGCTCAGGCGCGAAGCCAGTAGGTCCTGAGTTCGAATCCGCGGGGTGCGGGATCGTGGATGCGCACTGCCGAGGAGTCCCATACTAGGACGAAACGGCCGTCCAGTGCTTCCAGGTTTCCAACGGTGGTCTAACATCAATTGATTCATGATTTTAACTAGCTATTATTTAACCTACCATGGCATCTCGCTAATACTGATGTGGTATGATGAATTGAACCGTTGCACATGTGCCAAGTTATATTCCGATTGATTGAAAAATAATAGAAAGTAAACATTGTTGAAAGGAACCATAGAAAACCAGAAAAGTGATGAACAAATAGATGTAGAATATTATCCGAAAGGGGGTTTTGTGGAGATCGTAGTAATTTAATAGTTGGATTCATGAGTCGATTAAAGAAACGGCCGTCCAGGTTTTCCATGGTGATCTAGCTTAAATCGACTCATGAATCCAACTACTAAGATCTAGAATACAGTATATTTGTACCACTGACTTATTGAAGCTACTTTCTAGATTGTTTATTCGATTCGTACTATTTTTATTCAGAAATTGAATTGAATAGCCTACATTCTCTTCAAAGTGATTCAGACAAAAAATATGCAGAATATAATTACATTTTGGACTTCCGTATAAATTTTACGGTGTACTACGCGACATACTTATGGGAATAACAAACGCGTCTTCTGTAACTGCTGTATAATATATATATATATATCACAACTTCCTAAAGGTTAAAGTAATTTACACAGTCACTACACTCGATATTTTCACAGTACTTATTGGCGAACACTAGTCTGATAAAATAATCTTACGTTTCAAAAGGGCGTAATTCACACAACGCATTCTTAAATTTCCAATTGCTTCAGGATACATTGCATGTAGTCAGTGTCTTCACTTGGTATGGTTGTCCCATAAGTCTGTTGGGGGACTTCAGGCATAATATCAGTACAGTAGCTAACCGACTAGCTTCCCGAACGAGAATGGTGAGGATGGATAACTTTCGCGTGGGTACAGAAATTGAACGTGCTTTATAAGAATGTATGAAAGGCTTAGGTTAATGCACAGTTAACGTTATATCTAAATAGATGTGAAACTGGATTGTAGCTATGAACAAGTAGACTGTCTCGAATAGTTTTCACTAACCTCTCTTTTTTCAGTGAATAAGCACCGAACCATTGTATTTTAGAAGCCAGCCTCCTTTCATAAGCACATACAATAACCTTTTATTATGTGTTTTTCTACTCACAACTACTCGCAGTTGTTGTATAGACTCTTCATCAATTCATATTTAGATGTCTTCGATTCTCATACTGGGTGGACTTGAATATATGTTACTATATATGCTAATAATAATTTTTACCGGAAACAAGCTACTCTTTCCGGTCGATAAGCAAAACTACAGACCAAACTGTAAAGTGCTTGTATTTTCTTTAGTTAGCATCACACTTTGACCTATAACATAAGAATATAGGTAACAAGTATTACTTCAACGATATATATATATTACCCTAGCCTAAAAACTAGACCGACTTTCTTGAATATTAAAGGATGGATAAATAAAAAAGTATTGAAATCCAACTGAGTTTATTTGCTAAGATGAAAACAGAACATTATTATTTTTCATTTTAACGAAAAGGAATTTTTTTTACATATACACGTGTGCAAACAAATTAGTTCTTAGTAACTTCTACCGAACAATGTATAAGAAACTGCTTTACGAGAACAATGTTGGCGATTGAAACATGGTGTATCAGGAACGGGACTACCACAAACCAATGTTGGATTGAAATCACAAGCGAACGGGATGCATAAACTTTTTGCGCCCATAGCTGGTGCGCCAGGTTCAACAATGACATTTCTATTAGGAAAATCAGAATAAAATATACTTTAGACATTTAATAAGTAGTTTTCTATAAAATGAAAATATGCATTATAAAGAATAGTAATTTTATTGAGGAAATGTAATGGGACAAAAATATACTGCTTTTCAATAAGTTATACGTAAAATTCCAATTCATAGTCTCCACTTTCAAGCAATGATGGTAAAAGTTTGACAAAGAAGTGTACGAACAATTTGAAAAGCATATTAACATCCCTTTAAAAAATGTGTAATTTTCCAATAAAAAACTTAACGCAGCTAGCCGATAGAGGAAATTAAATAAACTGACAGATTCTTACATTTCACTTAGTGAAGTTTGAAAAACTTTTAGACGGACCTAGAATATATGGTGAAGTTAATTCACTAATTAGACATAAGTAACATTTGAAGAAAATCGGAAGAATTGAACAAATGACTAATTTTGAAAAGTGAACTATTCAATGACGACTCAGTGATATCATGATTAAGCATCAACCAAGATATCTGAAGGTCATGTCCTGGGTTTGATCCCTGATAGAGTCGTGGGTGTATTACTACTAGTGAGGAGTCTAGTTCTCGAACGAAACAGCAGTCTAGGGTTTCCTGGTTTTTATGGTTGTCTAACTACGGTCAATCCATAATGTAAACTATAAATAAAAATTATATTCTTTGATCAAAAACATACATAAGCTGGTTGTACATTCACTTGCCAATTAATCATCGATCAAACTGATTCACATAGGGCTAATAGATTATCGGAAAAGTATGTAACATGAAAAAGTGATATGTATCCCTGAAAAATCAACCAACTATGTTCGTGTATAACACACAGCACATGTAGTTACCATCTGACACAAAAGTGCAGTAAGAAATTTATTATATACGTCGTAGAAAAAATTGAGGGTATTAGATTATTTAATGTATAATGAAAACGTATATACACGCTTTGCAAATAAAAACATCACAACTGTTTATTTGGCTACAAAAATTTTTAAAACATTACACAATTAAGTTAAAGTAGAAACTAATATACCTGGCTGATTCATGTTTAATCACCTCTTCACAATCTCTATCACAGCAAAATGGAGCTAAAGCAAGCGACTTTTGATCCAAAGCTGTACATAATTCATTCATATTATTCACAGGCATAACATGACTAGCTAATGATTTTGTCGCTTTGTTAAACATTGCACTATGAATATCATCAAGGATACGAGGAAGTTCATTAATAAGGGAACCCATTGGTACATTTACCTATCATATACAAAATCGGTATAGAAAATACAAAAAGAATAGTGTATTCAATTAATGGAAGTGTAAAATCGATATCTTTGACAGTAATTATAACTTGTGCCTTTTTGTACAGTCGGCTTCAAACAAAACATTCTTTAGAGTAAGGGAACAGTGATATCATGTAGACGCTCAAATCAAAGTAAAATTAAATTTAAACATGCAGATAACTGGTGAACAGTTAAATTACTAAGCTACTATTTTATTTACTCGTGTCGATGGTAGATCTCCTATGAGCTAAGGTGAATTCACCTACTTCTTCATAGAAGAGATTAATAAGTGTGTTAAGAATTTTGAGTGAAGTATCTAATGAACAAGATATGACTTATGAAGCTTTAACCGTTTACTTGACCGACGTGGAAAGACTAATTAATGACAAGCTTTTAGTGCCGATTCACGACGACCAAAAGCAACTCGGAAAGTTAACGCCCAATAATTTACTATTGTTGAGGAAACCTAATAAATTTACGCGAAAGTTATCCTCATCAATGGCGACAAGCGCAGTTGTTACTGATTACATTTGGCGTTAGTGGATCAGAGTATTTGTTACCCTTATAAACACGAACAGAGTGGACACAAAAAGTACGAGATTTACAAACGGGCAATTCAGTCTTGGTTATAGTAGATACTTGCCCACGTAATAACTGGCTTAAAGAAGTTGTAGTAAGTGCTGGACAGAGAGAGATAGTCTTGATAGGCAAGTAGACATTAGAACATCGGGAGGGTTAATCACTAGAGACATAAGTAACATCTATTTATTAGAAGGGGTAGACAAATGAGCAGCAGAACGTAGGAAGACTTCCCAGAGTGATTGTGGTAAAAGTTGTAACATAGTCGGCTTTGGATATCGTTACGCTGGATACTTAATTAGTGAGAGCAAGAAGAGAAGAGATATGGTGTCGTTTGTAGGGGGGTAAGTATTGTTCAGTTAATAGTAGAATCATTCCTGAGATAAATTGTTATTTCTGAGCCTCGGTTTCACGCGCGTCTTAATCACGTAATTAGACGCTTTGATAGAATCAGTGGTACCATAGCTCTGAAAAAAATCGGTGTGATTTTATTGGCTTTACCAACCGATAGAAGAGCAAAACAACTCAAAATACTTATGTAGAGCTAACAAACGACAAGTTCTCATAATACTATTGGCACTAAGTTATTTCTAACCATAGATACCTTCAAATCCTCTGTTACGACCGACGGTGAGCAGAGTCCGCTCTCCCGCTGGAAATGCTCTAATATGGCCACCTGCTTATAGACACTGCCAGAGAAGTCCCACTGACTCTCTTCTCGGAGAAGTGTTGGCTATGAAAGTGGGAGAAGGAAAATAAAACTTTCGGAACTTAAACCTAATTGGTTGATACGTATGCTCCATTTGGATGAAAACCTTGATTTTAAATCAATAATGCTCATAGTCTACAGGATCCTGATGGAACGAGTGGAGTATGAACTTATTTAGATTACAGACTACATGAGACTAAACCTCCTGACGTCACTCCACTGTCTTGTGCGTTAGACTTTTAGGTAAAAGGTCGGAGAAATAGCCTTCTAAGGAAAATACCTGTTTTAGTTGGGTGCCCATGCAGTATCTCAGTTCACACAATTACGACACTTATTTCTGCAGTATAAACCAATTTTAGAGCCAAGTTGTACAAGTACTTGTATTAAGTCAAATAAACTATTTCAGCTGTGCATAATTGAATATATAAACCATAAAAAACAAACCTGTAAAGAAACTTACTCTTTCACCATTATGTCGAAGGACTAAACAAACTTTTTTATCAGCGACTTCTTGTGGACCAATTTCTAAGCGAATAGGAACTCCTTTTAATTCCCAGTGATTAAATTTCCATCCAGGTGATACATTATCACGATCATCACAGTATACACGAAATTGTTTAGACTTATTTAGTAATTCGAATATAGAATGAGCAGCGGACAAGAGAGTTTCTCTCTCCTGCACAGTTGTCTTTGCAGTAATGCCACAGGGAACAATAACAATCTATGACAATTTTTTTTAAAAACAGAATAATTTGTAAACATATGATAATTTATAAGCGTTTAAATCGTTCAGTTTTTTTATATTCTTAACCCAGTTTGGTAGCTAACAATGATATAAGCATCATAACCAATTAACAAGTTAACGACTATCTAAGATCAGTAGCTCAGTGTATAACGCAGTGGGGTTTGAAATAAAAGAGACTGAATTTAAGTCTTCGTCTGAATATCAGCAGTGGAAGGTATGCATAACTAGCAGATGAATTTTAAATATGACGAGAAGAATGTTCTGGATTCACTGCTAGTTATAATCGATCTATTTTACAATTCGTAAACACTTCAAAAATCATAAAGTCGAAGTACAGGTTATTACGTCGTTTAGAAAAAACCTAGATTAATAAAAAAAATTAATGTGCAAAACATCCACCAAATACTGTATTGATCGAAATCTATAGTACTAAAATAATAAAATCTATTTAATGTCATATCTATTTGACTCATTGGGATTAAGAACAAAAATAAGTTGAACACACAAGACAAGTGCCGGAGCGATTGTTTAGAAGCATAATAAACACTTGTGTTTATATATAAAGGTTACTTAATAAACCTCTGGCCCGTTCCAGAAAGGTTTACCAACGCTGAAGGAGTGGAAAGAAATCAATCATCATGTGTGGATCTAAGCCATTAAGAATCTATCCTCCTAACACAACCACCTAACTAGATATACTTTCAAAACACATATGTACATAAATTTAAATTGCATCAACGATGATGTCTAATTGAAAATTAAGATGTTTTTCATATTACGCCATCAGTTTAAAGTACAATATGATTAAAACCAAATGGTTTGTTTAAATTATTTACTAAACAACTTGTTTGCACGAATATTAAAGGTGTTGTCTAAAAATAAGTCACGAATGAATATGTATACACTTTAATACAAAAACTACTATATCAATATAACTTTTACATACAATCTTAATAAATTACCTGATATGGTGCGACCCTCGGTGGTAATACAAGACCTTTGTCATCACTGTGTACCATAATTAAAACACCTAGTGTACGAGTGGTAAGACCCCAAGAATTCTGATAGACGTAGGCAGGTTTACCAGTCACTGGATGATCGTATGTCACATCAAACATACGACTAAAGTTCTGACCTAAATGATGTGATGTAGCACCTTGAATTGCACGTCCATTTCCAGCAATATAAATTTCCACAGTTGTTGTATAGTCTGCACCGGCGAATTTTTCACGTTCAGTTTTACGCCCTATTAGATAAATAAATGTACAGAAAAACCAATAATCTGTGCAAAAACAAAAGAACTGATTTTTTAAGCCTAATATGGCAAGTAGTATCAAAAATTTCATAATCCTTTAGAAGGACAGCCCTCGAATACCTTGGTATGGCTGAGGGTGGGGAGAGTTAGCTCTTTTCTCTCGAAATACTCTCACATGGCCACGCGTTTACAACCACTGCCACGGAAATCCTACTCAATACATTCTCGAGGCATCACTGTTGTTTACGAAATTGAGAGGACGAAAACAGAATGTTCAGTGCTTCAACCGAGCTGTTGGATATGGAGGATCCACCTAGGGGAGTTGGAAAACCCTGGTTCCAAACCAATGGTGCACATGGGCTCCATGATCCTGAAGGAACAAATGGTGTATGAACCAGTTGTTGGTCACTGGTTACCATGGGACTGCATTTCCTGACGTTGCCCCACTGCTTTTTGGATCAGACCTCAATGTCAAAGGTTCAGGGAGTGGCTCCCTAAGAAAACCACATTCTTCGGTTTGGGCGCCTGAGCATTATTCCAGCCTTCACATGAATCAAATGACTAAGTGTAGCGCATATATATTTGTTACCTTCTTGTACCAATTCTTATGTATTTAAATAACTAAAAGACAGATTAATACAAATTCATCGGAAACAATATAACACATAAGTTATATAACATGATCAGACAATTATTAGACAACCTTTCAACTAACACTAAGAAGAATACTAACGACAAAAATGCATGAAAAAAAGAGATATTGACATGAAGTCTTCTACTATCTTCAGAAATATCTTTTCAAAAACTATCACAAATTAGAATGCATAAATATATATCAAGTGAAATCAGATGCTGAAAAGGTAACTGTAATATACTATGAATGTGCATTACCGATGAAGTATTAAGACGGGAAGAAAAACTTAGTTGAAAGCTTTTAAAGCTTACGTTACAAAAGAAGTAAACAATCAATATCTTTAAAGAATCTAAAAATATTTATCATTAAACACGGAACATCCTTAACAGGTAGATAAACAGATGGAACGTGAAACTTGGTGCAAAAAAGCTATTCTTCCAATTTGTCATATTACAAAGGGGTATATATCACAGTGCGGAAATCAACATAGAAAATATGAAAGTAATCGTGATAGTATTAAGCAAAGATAGAAACAATCGATACGAATGATAGAAGAGAGTCAATCGGGGTTAACAACAGATGAATATATACATAACAGGAAAGTTGGGAATGAATATATCCACAATATTTTTATCAACTAGTTTCTGGCTAGTATTCTTGCTGTCTGACGAACAACAACCAAGATGCCTAGCTACGTAAATCTCTCAGAACAGAGCAGTCAGTAACCAACTTATAGGATTAATGTCATGTAGTCAAAATTTAACATTTCCCTGTAGACGGAAGGCTGGGAATATTCAGCAAATTCACCAAGTTGTCATCCAATTATAATAAACCAACACAATATACTTACGAATCTTTTTACTGAAAAAGGATCATTACTATTATTGCTATTATTATTACCTTTGACCACAGGAACTGCAAGTAAATATTCGTAAACTTCAGCATATAGATCCAATATTACACGAACCTCTGCTTCTGCATCGGCTTTTTCTGCAAAAGCGGTATGTCCTTCTTGCCAAAGGAATTCACGTGTACTAAGTAAGATGGACATGAAAATTGTTGACGAATGAAAATTTGGAATAACAAAAATTACTCAGAATAATCATAAATATATATTAGTTAGTGGAATAGTTTGTAGCATTATTTTTAAGGAATAAGAACTAGCTACTGAACAAGTCTCTTTTTAAATTAGTACAAACACAACTTGCAACCTAATGGTTGGAAATTAAAGCCTTTAACCAGTGGTCTACTGCTCCACTTAAAATACTAAAACCAAGATTTGCCGGTGTTTCACAATGGTGATCCAAAGAGAACAACTGCTTATGGGTGTATTGGAATTAGTAATCAAAATAATGAAAATCTTTTGCTTTGAAAAACATAGTCTTACAGTTTCTAGAAAGGAGTGGTTGTGATTTTCAGTTTAAAACTTCGTTGATTATTAATCTGAGAGAACAATCACTACACACAAGCTCTGTTTGGAACACCAGCAGGATAAATATTGTGGTTGATGTAATACAGTGGTTTATGGTTCAAAACACTCAACTTTCAATTACTTGACTGTAGGTTTGTACCCTGCTTCACTTACCTACTCCGATATAGACAGCCGATTGGTATGAATAACCCTCATGCAAAGACAAGGTAAGACTGGAAAACAATTATGCAAACGTCTATTTGGTTACTGAGTTACATCTAATTACGTTGTCCAATTTAAGCGACCGTCAGGCAAGTATGAGAATAATTACACCAATACGTATGGTTAATTTCCATTAATATACTACAGAGTTATCTACAAACATCCAATAATTCATGATGCTGCATAAATAGTAAAACGGTCAATAAATTTACCGTAGAAAAGGTTGTGGATGTTTAAATTCCCACCGGACAACATTACTCCACTGATTTATACGAAGTGGTAAATCTCGATGAGATTGGATCCATTTAGCAAATATTGGATACATAATTGTTTCACTGGTTGGTCGAATAGCGATTGGTTCTGTTAGATCTGTATCACCTGATTTTGTCACCCAAGCCACCTGTTTTTAAGAAGCAAACAAAATTAGTTTGTGAATGAAAAGCTCAAAACTATTGGGTTGCTCTTTTTAAAGCATACTACTGAATTAAAAATAGTTATGAGGTGTGATTAACGTATCGAACAAAACAGCAAATTTATTTATTCTGAATTAATTGTGATTCGAAGGTATGTTATTATAAACCCAAGCAAAATGTACGATGTAAGCCAAATAAGTAAGATTAATGTAATACAGTAACACATTCGCTAAGCTGCATACTACATTTTTTTATGTCACAAAAAATGATCCTGATGATCGAACGAATCAAGTAATCCCCAAATATTGATTACATGTTTAAGTCAACAGCTTTATAGAGTCAACACACTTGTAAAATTCGGGATTATAGTGTTAAAACCAATACATAATTTCCTAAACAACAAGGTTAAATTGCAAATTCATCCACAGAATTTGATCAGTACTAAATCACTATAAAAATCTCAATCCCACAGGAAGTCAGTCGTTACCCAAATAGCCCAACGGCAACGTTCGACTGTTTTTACTGGGTGATACAGGTTAAAATCTGAAGGAAAGCATCAGTTCTCTCAAGATTATACATAATACTTCCTAACGAGTACTAACCAGAATGAAACCTAGCTCAGAAGGTTCCTTCTACAACCGTCACTTAATGTTAAGACTATAAGGTCAGACTGAAGAAATAATTTGTACTCACTTCAGGCGCGAAATCAGTCACATGGTTCTTTTCACGTTCCAACGCTGATTTAGAGACAAACATTGGGAAATAAGCATTTTCTATACCCATCACTTTGAGTTTTTCGTCCATAAAACGTTGAATAGACTGCCACATATGATAAGCCCATGGACGGAGAATATAACATCCACTGATATCATAATAGTCTAATAATTCGGATTTTATAATCAGTTCGGAGTACCAATCAGAGAAATCAGTTTCCTTTGATGCTTCGATAGCTAACCTATTTTAATAAATGAATTTGGAACTAACCTCCCTTACAGTGAAATACAAAAATCTATTGAAAGCATATAATTTGAAGAGGCAAAAAAATAACTGAATCAAATTTGTGTGACAATATCGCTTTATTAATTAGTAAGTTGAGTCTTTCCAAAGAAAAAACGACTTCGTCAATGTCAGTGAGTCACAAACAAGCAATAGATAAGTGAGGATGTAGTTGAATATGTGCAAAAAGATAGATGCTTCCCATTTGCCTACACATCATGGACGGGTATTTTCTTCTTGAACATCCAGGAACAACAACTGAATTTCTTTCGGTAATCCTGTTTGATATAAGAGCGTGATCGCAGAGCCCAATGGGCAACAGCTTAAGCCCTATCTCACACGACCAAAATGTAAGTTATTTACTTTGGTACGATGGCCGAAAACCAGTGGATCAATGGGGCCATGCAGTATTTCTAGTCTCTACCTTCACTAACATCTGCTTATGATAGGTTGGTAATGCTGGAGATACTGGTTATTAGATCAAGGACACCTTATTGGGGTTACATTTCAACACAGTCAGGAGTAGAACGTCATCATCGGACTTTGAATTTGCCCCCATCGTCTTGTCATATTTTATTTGACCTATCTAAAATGGTAGAACCTCAATGATCGAATTCTCCAGACTAGATAACTCGAATGGTTTATCACGATTAGTACACCCGAACATTACAAGACAACAGCCATAGTTAAGCAGGCGAGTTATGCAAATGTTGTTTGGGCTAAAAAAAAATGAGAAACCTTGAGTTTTGTATAATACCAGATTCCTAAATGATAATGTTCTATAATAAGACAACTATCCTTTAAAGTTGAATCGGTATTTTTTATTAATTAAAGCACTTTGTATTGGCAACTCTTAAAATCAAGGTGAAAATAATATTCATAAAGCTTCTTTACTGAGATGAGTAATATTACTCCATCATGTGGAACTACATACTAAATACTTCAACAACCCTACTTTGATTTTGTCTCATTTTTAATTCGTAGTTGTATTATATTTTCTCTTCTCTCATTAAGCAACATTTTATGTACTACATTTAAAACAATATCTCATTTTGGATGGTTTGTTTACTTTTGAAGTGTAGCACCAAATAATCTTTGTTAGTCGCCGATATTATTGGTCGATATAACTGCGTGTTATTTTCTGGTTTACGGTTTACTGTTGTACCGTAATATTATCTTGACACGGTGACAGTAACGATTATATTGTTAAATACAATCGAGAACTTAAATCAACTCATTTTATTGAGTATTAAATACAACAGTATAAATACAATGCTGTACTAATCATTTGATGTCTAAATGAAGGTTATGGGCTTCCAAAACCAGGATATTTAAGAACATATATGTTAATGGCATTGGGTGAAACACACGAATTTCGTTTACCAGGATGCATTTCCAAACCGTATTCCCCTTTTCTATGGGCTTGGACAATCGGGTAATAATACCACAATCTTCACATAAAACATGCAGCGAAAAACTGATTACATTAACTAATCAGTATGCGGTTTTTGAACATTGTTGATTATACAACAGCCGAAGCACTAAAGTTAGACACAGAAGTAACGGCAAAGATGCTTCACGTCCAATTCAGGAAGGTTTAGGGGAATAAATACCTCATCAAAATGCCAAATAAAGATCTCAGCAAGTTTGAGAACTACATAGGCCTCATACTACTATCGGTACCAGAAGACGTTTTCAATAGTGTTGTTAAACCGAATGGAAGATTCGGTAGATGCCCAACTTCGAAACCAATAGGCTGGATTCCTTAAGGACCAGTCGTGCACAGGCCAAATCGGGACACCACGTATCATTGTTGAGCAATCAATTGAATGGAATTCGTCACTATACATCAACTTCATCGACCATTAGAAAGTAATTGACAGTGTGGATAGGAGAACATTATAGAAACTTCTTCGACACTATAGTGTACCTGAGAAGAACGTCAACATCATACGGAATTCGGACGACGGACTACACTGAGAAGTCATGCATGGAGGACAGGTGACAGATGCATTCCAGGTAAAGACCGATGTCAAGCAAGGCTGCTTAATCTCTCCCTTTATCTTTCTTCTGGTAGTTGACTGGATTATGAAGACCTCCACATCTCAGAGGAGGCATGGAATCCAATGAACAGTTTGGATGCAGCTGGATGATTTGGACTTCGCAATTATATCCCATAAAATGCAACGAATGCAGACCACAACCAATGTAGCAGCAACCTCTTAAGCAGTAGACCTCAACACTCACAAAGGGAAAAGAGAGGTCCTGAAATGAAACAGACAGAGCACCAACCAAATCATACTTGATCGAGGAACTCTAGAAGATGTGGGAAGCTTTAAGCGCCTGGGCAGTATACAACTGAAGAACATAGAAAACTCAAAACAACTATCAGCCAACATCAAAATCAGAATTATCAATACGAACGTCAAGACAACTCTATTGTATTGAGTTAAAACTTAAGAACTAGTAAAACCCTCATCAAAAAGGTACAGGTATTTATAAACAGTTGTCTACGCAACATAGTCCAGATCCATTGATCAGACATCATCAGCAACAACCTACTATGACAGGGAACAAACCAATTTCCAGCTGAAGGGGGAATTAGGAAAAAACGCTGAGAGTGGATAGGACACAAATAGTGGAAATTACAAAACTGCATCACAAAGCAAGCTGTAACCTGGAATCCTGAAGGCAAAAGGAGAAAAGGCAGACCAAAGAATACATTTCTCAGGGAATTTGAGTTAGACATAGAAAGGATAAATAGCATTTGAGAACAACTGGAACGAAGAGCTTAGAACAGAGTTGGTTGGAGAATCCTGGTTGGTGGCCTATGATCCACGAGGGGAACAGGTATAAGTGAACACGTAAGTAATGTTACAATCATCAATGGTAATAAGGCTTATTATATTGTTTAAGTTTGATTAATTTAGTTTTAATTGCTAACAGGTTATCACAAAATTCAATGCTTATCAGTAATAATTACAAAAATAATAATTCCCTTCAGCGATATTACAATAAATCTGGAAAAAAAACTTACTTAGATTGTTTTTTAGTTCCAGACTTTTTCAATAATGGCTTTTCTTCTTTTTCATTTTTGACGACTACTTTTGAAGATGCTGGTATCGATTGTTCACACTTTATTGAATCAACGTGATTGGATCGTTCATAGATTAATTTATCACAAGTTTGTTTACTGATTGTCTCATGACTAATTACTGTCGTTCTTAGTTCATTTTCTGATGTTTTTTGTTGTTTAGCTTTTAATTTACCCTCTTTCCTTGCTTCTTTCTTTTCTTCTTTTCGACGTTGTTGTTCAGCTGCTTTAGCTGCTTCTTCGGTGTCAGATTTTCAATTTTAACAGTCTTTTAAAGAAAATAGTGATATTTAAAATAAATTGAAAAAATGAAAAAAGGAATGTATTGTTATGACTTATGGCTCTGTCTTATATCACGTGAAAAGACCACCAATCACAATATTGACTTCTATGACCTTGTCGCTGAGTTAATTAATGACACCTCAGCCAGCACTAGTAGCCCTGAGTCAACTTTAAATTCTTATTGGTCCTCCATACAATAGCTTTTTCTCTTGTCTTCTCCCTTGAATCAAGAACAGAATAATCAACCTCCACTATATGAATATTACAATTCAAACATACTTAGCTTATATACAAGCAGACTAGACCGTATCACATCATCAAGTAAAAATAACAATTATGCGTGACCAAGTCAAAAATGGCTATGAGTAAGAGAGACTGTAAATACGAGATTAGGAATCAATTAAAAATAGTTAATCGTATAATGGCAGTTAATAGGTCAGACGAAGATCTATCTACTAATCAATCATAGTTCAGGTAATTTAGGATGTTTACTGAAGGTGATCAATTATGTGTACAGTTAAGTGATTCCTTGTTATATTGTGAGAGCTTAGTAGGAAAATCTCTAGGTGTTATTGTAGTGGTGTTTCACGGTAATAGATATCTGACATAATGAGTGTGATAAGAAATATTAATTACCCTGACAGAAAAAACAACTCACTTTATTGGTTTTGACAGATCCTGACTTTGATGACTCAACTTTAGAGTTAATAACAGTAGTATCGTCCTTAGATGAACCATCCGGAATGTTAATTAAAACACAAGGCGATTCGTGGCCAGTAGCTAAGCTATGAATTTAAAGAATGTTTTTCGTAAAACAACTAACGTTCGTTGTATTTATTAAAAGTTAAATCAACTACGCGAATATAGTTAAACTGATAGAATAACTCAAAAGATGTAAACGTAACTTTAACTACACTATTCTATAAACAAAAGTTATATTTTGCTTTAAATACTCTAATATGGGAATATGTTTCTATCAAACAAGTGTGAGATGCTTCAATTTTAAAGTAGGATATATTTATTCGAACCATTTATTAGGTATAGATTATTGTACTTCGTTGTGCACTACACTCTAAGTTTGAAGACCAATGTAGCTGCCCGGTTGTTCAAAATAAAGATGGGATAGGATTCAAACCCGCAGTTTAGCGGCTAAAAGTCGAACGCCTGAACGACGGAACCAACTCTACAATCTCGAGTAACGCGCGTAAAAATATATACAAACTGAGAAATATTTTACAATGGAGTACATATACGCAAATTTTAATTTACTTATTGAAATCAAAAATTTCCCAAGTGTAAATTTGTTTCACAAGTTGAAATCATGAGTCAGTTGAAGCTAGACCACCATGGAAAACCTGGAGGCACTGGACGGCCGTTTCGTCCTGGTATGGGACTCCTCAGCAGTGCGCATCCACGACCCCGCACCTCGCGGGATTCGAACCAAGGACCTACTGGTTTCGCGCGCGAGCACTTAACCATTAGACCACTGAGCCGGCATCCAACGGTGTTAATGTCTAACTTCAACCAATCCACGAAGGAGTCCCATACCAGGACGAAACGGCCGTCCAGTGTTTCCAGGTTTTCCATGGTGGTCTAGCTTCAATTGACTCATGATTTCAACTTGTGAACTTTCTAAAAAATCTCCACAAAACCCATTCTGATAATAAATTTATTTATTCAGCTGTGAGTCACACATTTAGTATAATGGAAGGACGATGTTAAACCCCACCTATAGAAACCTACGTAAGTGAATTCCGATGTGAACCTGCAACGTACTAATTTTAAAAAATAATGGATCAACGAATTTTACATTTCTTTATTTATTTGAACACAAATATGGGTACAAAGGGGCTACTAATACATATACACCACACAAGTCATCTGGTTTTTGTGTGGGCTGTGATACTGCCCGGGTGTCCAGATCGAAGCAGGTGGTTTTCTTAGGGGCCACACCCCGAGCCTTCGACCTAAAAGTCTGATCCACAAAGCAGTGGGGCAACGTCAGGAAATGCAGTCCCATGGTAACCAGTGACCAACAACTGGTTCATACACCATTTGTTCCTTCAGGATCATGGAGCCCATGTGCACCATTGGTTTGGAATCAGGGTTTTCCAACTCCCCTAGGTGGATCCTCCATATCCAACAGCTCGGTTGAAGCACTGAACATTCTGTTTTCGTCCTCTCAATTTCGTAAACAACAGTGATGCCTCGAGAATGTATTGAGTAGGATTTCCGTGGCAGTGGTTGTAAACGCGTGGCCATGTGAGAGTATTTCGAGAGAAAAGAGCTGACTCTTCCCACCCTCGGCTGTACCAGGACATTTGCGGGCGCTTAACAACACTTATTATTTCTTACAATCTAGTCAGTCTTTTATCTACGTAAAATCACCTTCCACACTCGTTCCACTATAGCTTTGCATATATATCAATATAGTGAGGAATATTTATTGGAAAAACTCGTCTAGCACCAAAATTTTATGTGGCTTATCGCTTTTCAACAGCTTGTTACGCTTCTTTACAAATAATTAAAAACTTTTTTAAAAAAGGAAAGAATTAGCAAAATTAATGAAATGAGTTACCAAGCTGATTCATATGGTGCATCGCAAATGTAGAAACCACGACGTTGAATCTGTATGATGTCACCTTTTTTAACATGACACAAGTCAGGATCACCAAGTAAGCATTGTTCTTTCTAAACGAAAAAGCAAATCAATATAATTTCAGTGGACACGGAACATTCCAAAAAAATGATGTGTATGTCTATGAAAAGTGAATGGATTTGCACTGTTTTTAAAATCTAAACAAGTAAAATATTATATTTTCCTAAAAATGTTGTGATATAGGGTTTCTCCTTCGTTCAGTGACAAGCATATATAAACAACAGGTCTTTAACTATTCACTAACTGATTGCGCATATTTTTTTACAAAAGAATTCAGAATATTGCGTTTGTTTCGAATCGCCTACGCCTTTCTTTCAAATTCTAAACGACACTTATTCCGTAGAATCAACATGGTCAGTATTTTGAATAATTTCACATCGATTCAATAAGGTAGTTTTCAGTTATGAATGATAAAAGTATATTTACAGAAATACGAAGTGTTTTGTAAGTATATCACTGTACTACATTAAAAATCTAAACCCAAATAATAACTACAGAAATGATCGAGAGAAAAGTAACATTAAAGCCACAAGTAAATGATTTCTTCACCTTCTACAACTCTCAAATCTACCCGTGATTTAGCTAACCTGATATGGTGAACCAGGCAATGGCTTGGCAATTATTATTCTTATTATCCTTCATCATCGACTAACTTACCTCACTTATTGGGAACATCGTGAGAGGTGAGTAATAATAACATCGCAGTAACGCTGTATAAATATATGTGGAACGTATTTAGATTATGATGAGCAAGATGCTCGCAAATGTCCTGGTACAGCCGAGGGTGGGAAGAGTCAGCTCTTTTCTCTCGAAATACTCTCACATGGCCACGCGTTTACAACCACTGCCACGGAAATCCTACTCAATACATTCTCGAGGCATCACTGTTGTTTACGAAATTGAGAGGACGAAAACAGAATGTCAGTGCTTCAACCGAGCTGTTGGATATGGAGGATCCACCTAGGGGAGTTGGAAAACCCTGATTCCAAACCAATGGTGCACATGGGCTCCATGATCCTGAAGGAACAAATGGTGTATGAACCAGTTGTTGGTCACTGGTTACCATGGGACTGCATTTCCTGACGTTGCCCCACTGCTTTGTGGATCAGACTTTTAGGTCGAAGGCTCGGGGTGTGGCCCCTAAGAAAACCACCTGCTTCGATCTGGACACCCGGGCAGTATCACAGCCCACACAAAAATCAGATGACTTGTGTGGTGTATATGTATTAGTAGCCCCTTTGTACCAATATTTGTGTTCAAATAAATAAAGAAATACCAAATTAGTAGATAAAAGACAAGGGTTGTAACCAAACAGGAACCAGCTGTACAAACGATAGTTTAATGCGGTTGAAATAACAAAGAATATTTTTTTAAAGAAGTTACTTACTTTTGAATATTTATTAACATATAATTTGAAGTCATCATCTTTGCTCAAAATTGCTTTATTTAAAAGATTATCATATGTTAGACAACTGACTGGAATAATGGAAGGTGAGAATCTTTAGGATCTGTTAGCCAAGTGATTTTGAGTGTTTTCTTGTAATCCTTTTAAATAGAACACAAATAACAAACATATTAATGTGAAAAGCAGGAAAGATACATACATGCAATGTAGTATGTATGTGTGAATGCTTTATTGATGGTAGAGGATGAGCATAATCAACCCTACACTTCTGGATGTGTTCAAATAAATGACTTTACTCAATCTTAAAAAGTTAAAAGCGAATGTCTATATACTTGAGTAATTTTCTTGTGCCTAAATTACTAAAATTTTGAGGCCATCTAAGACAGAATATATATTTTAAAAAATGGTTCCTGTTGAGTTTGAGATCAGTCAACAATTAGTTCATCAAAACATTAACGAAGCTCACTAATAGGTATTGTATTTCAATTGCAGTGTCAATTCACAATGAGTTCATTAATTATAGTGGAGTATAGTTAAGTTTACGGAAGCGTTTTAAAAGATAACGTTGGTCACAGAGCATCTGGTTGTAATCAAAAGATAAGCAAAGATATAGGGATTCGCCTGTACTAAGTCTTGCACCATCAAAGTTTTAGTCTTGTGGAGATTGTAGAATTCTCCGTTTAGATTAGGAACCGATTTTGGATAGACCACTACTGAAAACATAGAAGTACTAGACAGACGTTTCTTTCTAGTATGAAACTCATCAGCATTACTGGACATTCGATCGGTACTACATGAGAAATGTTGATGAATTAACCACATTAGAGTTTAATTATGTATATTATATAATATAACTTACAGTATCTTCCAAATTAAGGCAAGCATCAATGGATACTATTAATTGACCTTGTTTATGTATATCCATTATCCGAAGATTACCCCAATTGATGAAGGTTACATTCTCACCTTTTTTAAAACATAATGCATCCGCTTGCTCAACAAACACTTCTGGACCAAGTAAGATTGAACGGTATCCAAGTGATTCGTTTTTCGGGTGGATTTGTACCTGAAATTTTAATTTTGAAAAAAGTCTTGTACCTCAGAATATTTAATGAGTTGAAACAGTTTTTCAAAAACCTGAAGTTTTGATAACTCGATGATCAGTAAACTAAGTGTTCATTGTTATATGGACGCCATAAAAGTGGATGCCTACTTAATACAAAGCAATAGTATCAGGTTTTATAGAACTTCGTATGGAGTTTTACTGCAAATAGCCAATTACATACAGATTTTTATTCAAGGTTACTCAAACCACTGTAAATGAAGAGTGTGGATTTGGGATCTAATGAGTGCGAATGCAGTGCCCAAACCACATAATCTAAGATAACACTACAAAGGCTGAAGTTTCATGAATCGTCAACACAACTAACCTTTTTCTCAGTATAGCCGGTTTGGCCATGAACATGAACACGAACTAGACCAGGAGGTGTACCATTATGACCCATATATGAAGAGTCCAGTAAGAGAGCAGTAGTTCTTGGCGCTACAGGCTCAATTATTTTCTTATTAAATGACCAGATTTTATCCCATTCCATCAAAGCAGAAGATCGACTAGACCCTTGGGCCAAAATAAATTGACGTAATCCTTCAGCGGTCATACCACGACGAAGAATACCAGAAACTGTAGGCATTCTTGGATCATCCCATCCATCAACAATTCCTTCTTCTACAAACCATGCGAGTTTACGTTTTGACAGGACTGTATTTTGTAGAGCAAGACGACTGTAGTCGATCACAATTGGACAACGTAGACCTAGCATTGAATCAAAACAGAGCTAAAAGTTATTAATATATTTAGCAACAAATATCATCAGTCAGTCAGTCAGCTACAACGTAGGACCAGGCACATGTATGCATCGGCCCAGGTTGCCATACCTCATTAGCACAGCAAGATGAACACTGGATTCATAGGAGTGGTTAGGTCAAAGGTGGTAATATATAGGAGAAAGATTGCAATAAGGATATAGTATAGGAAGAAAGAATTAGTTCGTAGAAAGAAAGATATAAAGCGATTTTAATCTCTTAGTTTAAGGGAAGATAGAGAGTGTATACACCGACGCCATTGTGATCGATTCTGAGCCATGTCACCAAGAGTCTCCAACCACTGGTTACGATAGTCACGCGGACCCCAACCAAGTAGTCTGCATCTACCAACATCAGTACAAAGAAATGAAATTATCGAAATGAATACCAAAGAAATATAAGTAACAGTATCAATGATAGTAGACATAAAATTAGACACGAAATATGATTCCAGGAAGAATGAGTGAAGAGCATAAAACAATTTTGAAACGCATAATTAGGGAGTGAATGCTTCGGTGCCGTTGCGATCGCTTCTCAGCCAATTCATCCATGACAATCACCCTAATTCTAACCGAGTAGTTCGTATTTATCAACATGATTCAGATCAATGACTTCATAGATCAACGTCATGGTTTTGGTTTGCTAATCCTACTTTCTAACCTCAAAGTCCTTTTTACCAAGAAATTTATGGTATTGTGGTTATAAAGTGAATTTATTAAGAAAATCTATAAACTTTCTTTTGTATCTAAACGACTCGGTTCAATGACATTAAGCCCAAGTTCTGAAGACTTCTATAGATGATTTGAGCAGTGAAAATAAAAATACAAACTGTGCATTGGCATAAGTTAGAAGTTTTTTGAAAGGGATAAAATTATTCAATAAGCAAGAAAAGTTTTATTAGTTTTTTTTAGAAAAAAAGTTGTTAGCTTACCTAAACTTTTACATATCCATGCATACTGTTCATTTCTATCATTATATTCAGATGTTCGTAAAGCGTGGGTTACGCCTTCAATACTATCCACTATTGGGCAAGCAAAATCATACAACGGATACACTCTTTTGAAGGAAAGAATAACAGGTAATAATAAAATATTTTATCCGTTTTTTCTGCGATGATTATCAACATGTGATTTAAAGCCAATGTGAAACATACCCATAAATCTGGATACGTTCAATGTGAACAAATGAAAATAACTACTGAGTCGAACTTCTGAAGACTTCAGACTACAAGGATGGTAAGAATTGAATCCACTAGATTTCATAACAGCTTGATGTATCAAACACTATCTCACTTACCATTAGCTTACTTCCTAAGGAAAACTATATTAATTTCATTAGGATAGCTGTCGTTCATTCAAAAATCTAAAATACTGAACCTATTGAAAATCATTAGCATTAAATACTGGAAGAAATTCGATTCTCGACAAATAATTTGCATATACACAAACAATACCATACAATCACTTTCATTAATCTAGTTTCTTCAAATAAATGTGATAGTGAAGTATTCTCTGAATGTTTTAATACATGAAACAAATTTTAACAAACAAACAATATGTTATTATGGGCCCTGATAAAAGCGATATGGTTCTAAAGGACAATGACCATTTTAACTGTTGTGAGGAATTAGTCTGTGCTTGATAATATTTATCCTTTTTGTCAACCGTAATACATCACAACAGTAGTTCTAGTCGTAAATTTAACAATACTGCAGAATGCTTTATACTCTCATTCGTATTAAATAACTACATACCTTATACTGATTACTTATCTTACACATTGTAGTCCTAAGAAAGATGGTAACGTCGTTCGATATCACGTGGACTACATATAAATTGATACAGTCAACATGCATACAAGTGCACTGTCTACGAAATAGACATTTTTTTAAATGTTTAACCACCAGATGGAAATTATTTTATACTATGATGAAATGCTTACAGAAAGCAACACTACACTTAAGACGAAAATATAGAAAACCGTATTTTGAAAGTGACGTAGACACGTTTACATATTAGCTTACTTATATTTAGAACCTGTCCGAACATGGGGTTCTATTTTACAACGATATATTGTAGGATCACGTAAAGCACCGTTATTAGAAGACATATCAATTTTAGCACGTACACAACATTTTAGTCCTTGTTCCGTTCCCTTTTTCATTTCTTCCCACCAAGCCAAATTTTGTTCGATAGCTAAGTGATAAATTACAGGACAGAAAGTAAAATTTTTAAAACTTAGATTGAGTTATAGCTAACTAAACCAAACCGGCAGATTTCAGTCAGAAAAGTAGTCAAGTAGTTAATCACATGAACCATAAGTTACGAAGATCAGACTGGATATAAGCGACTGAAGTACCTAGAAAAATGAACTAAGATTTACTAAATACCCATGTCATGTTTTCCCTATTTGTGTGTTTGAGCGGCAGTGTTTATTTACTCCTAATTTACATAGGATGAGTGGTACTCGAAGACAAAACACCTTAAATGAGAAACAATAGTCTTTTCAAATGATCGCTTTCAACATGAAACTAATTATTTTAAATCGAACAGTACAAATTATTATGCACAATTGAAGTCGATTTTCACATGGAACAAATTGTGGTGAATGGCGTACAATGAAATGTGTATTGCCGACCTTTTCGAAGCTACACACGTTTAGGAATACAACAGGAAAATAATTCAGAAAACTGATTCCACCTAAAACTAATGTGATAGAAGTAGAAAACAATGGTGAAAACCAGCCAATGGAAATTACCCACATGCACTACGTGACGGCGCACCTAAGTTGTCGTCCAAATTTATCATACTACGTTTAACTCGTTTTACCACATTGAAAGTGATCTTTATGTGGAGAAAATGAAATTTACTGTAGTCAATAGTTAGAAAACTGAAACTTGACTTAGTAAATCAGTTATAAATACTGTTAGTAAAAAAACTTTGGCTGACGTTTGTATAGCTACTACTACTACTATGTATAAAACTAGATTGCTGGAAACAATTTGGGCAATATACTTTTACCGAGACTTTAAAAGAATTCAAAGAGATTACTCTTACAATTATCTCTACAAGCAGACATTTGGCGTGCTTCCCTCTGTACACGAATAGTTTCCATGTCTGTGTTATCAACATATGCTTTGCCTTCCTTGATTAGTTGTTCACACAGTTTTAGCATCTCGTCAAAATGATCAGAAGTTGACGATATGGTATCCCATGTGACACCGATTCGAGGAAGATCTGAAAGAATCGACTTTTCAAAGTATTCTTTTTCTTTATCAGGGTTAGTATCATCAAAAACGTAATATCAAACGACCTTTGAAAATATCCTGGAAAGAAAACAATAAAAGTACATACACAGGAGATACACTAGAACCTTACTTTACATCAGAATATACACCAACTTTTCACAAGGTTATAGAACTATGACTATTGTGAGTCAGTCAGCCAGTCAGTAACAACGTAGAACTTACGTACGTACGTATATCGATTCGAGTTGCCATACCACATTAGCATAGAGATGCAGTTGTTGATTCTAATCCCATAGTGATAGAGGTAGTAAAATTATAAGCACTAATCGGAAACATTAGGGTTTGAAGATGTTATTCAAGGAGTAAAATCCAGTGAAATAAGTTTGGAATGAGAAAAAATAGGGGACATGAAGGATCCGGAAGATCAGAATTTGGGAGAACACAAAGAAAGGATGTACCTGTGACACTGCAAACGATTTTGAGCCATGCCATTTAAGGTCTCTAACCATCGGTTGCTATCGTCTCGCGAATCCCAACCAGGTAGTCTGCACCTACTGACATGGCTACGTCCACTTGTCAGTGACTTTATGGATTTGTGCCACGTTTTGGTCTGGCCGCCTCTAGCTTTCTTCCAAACTACTTCTACACCAGAAAACAACGCACGTGAGGGGGTGTCGGTGGTTGGGCATACGTAACACGTGTCCCAGCCATCTCAACTAATGAAGTTTCACTACTTCATCAATTGATTTGCCATCCTTACCTGGTACCCGTTTCCTAACAACTACATCACTTACTCGGTGGCCCCAGGATATACAAGCAATGCTTCGAAGACACCTATGATCAAATGTATATTGTGAGGGTTAGTTAAGGGTTGAACTCAAAAACTAATTAATAACTCAGACAAATGATGAATGCTAAAGATGGGTTATTGGATCAAAATGTAGAAAGACATGTTGAGTGAAGCAGACAGTAGCAATCCGAAGAGAGTTCTCATAAAAGGTTAAAATTGTCACTTGACTTTTCAGGCCTATCGATTCTAAATAATATTAAGTCTCGTTATCGGAGGATTAAATGCTTGGATTCGAGAATAAATTATTTATATAACTGGGTTAAAATTCCTATCAGCTAAACAATCTTTTAAAAAATGAACAATAAACAGAATTTCTTACTCTATAGTGTTGATTTAGAAGCGCTGCTTTAGCATGTCCAATATGTAAAAATCCACTGGCTTCCGGAGGAAAACGAACAACTACTTCCCCAGCTTTCGCACCAGGGAGTTCACCGAACTTTCCTCCCTTTTCAAATAACATATCAGATGCATGAGTTTTACCAACAGCATTACTAGATGGTTCTGAGTTAACTGAAACGCTTTTTGGCTGGAGCCGTGATTCATAGATTTCTGTTCTAAGTTTCCGAACTGATGGTAAGGTTATAAGACGATCATAGTATTGTTTAAGATTAACAAACGACTTTACGGAGCTATTAGTTCTGTACGACTCATTGAGTTTTTGCCAATCTGGATTGACTTTAAAATTCAAAAAAGAAAAAACCAGACTAAATATTTGTTTTAGTAATAATACTTCCTATATTTAAGTTCGCAACAAACGAGAAAATTTGTTATTAATTAACAAGCTAAGTCTATATCATAACGAAATACTTAAAAGAGCGGAAAGCCGATTATATGTGTGGAAATATATCACTGACCTAATCATTTATTTAAAAATAACGTAAGGCCGCCGACAATATGCATTCACTCATCTCATCATGTCATATTGGTACAGAAAATTGACTACCAAGTGAGGTCATAATAATGATAGTAATGAAAAACTGAACACAGAAAATATGGTTAAAAGTGGTCCAATTCTTTTTGGTGTTTTATCTTCGTTAGAAGTTGCTCTGAACTCACGACAGGTTTTGGAACTAAAAAATCTGATAGTGAAGAGTAAAAAACGACATTGAAACCTAAAACCAAGAGAATAAGAACAATGAATCCATTCATGTCACTGTGATCGAATTTGAGCCAGGTCGTCTAGATTCTTCAGCAATGGGTTACAACTAATTCGCGGATCTTAAATAAAAGGTCTGAACCTCATATAATAGCTTAGATCAACAAGTCAACGATGTCATACACCAAACCCTAACGTTTAGCTTTCTATGCTTTTCGTCAACCAACTAGAGTGCTAGATGGTATGGGACGTCAAAGTAGATGAAGTCATGGTGTGGTTGGCTTATCTTAATTAGAGCTGATGACGAATTACAGCTTTACTGAAGGACTTAGCGTTTCTGGAAAGCAGTATATGCCTAATCTCAGTATTACTCACACAACAGTTTGACAATAAGCAATCAATGCTCCAAAGATATGTGACCAAGAACACAAAGCTCCGTCTGGCTAGGTTAGCATTTAACAAACATTTCAGTTAAAAAGTTACTGGTTCCATATAAATGCACTGAATTTTATAGAAAATGGATACAGCTTAAACGCTTGTTTCATGGACACAAAGAAGACATGAGCCTTTTGTAGACGTATCTATAACCTCATTATTAAACTACTAAGTACAAATCAGGCCCAATAGGTAAACTATAGAGAAATCAATTATATAAACACTTACTGACAGAGGATATTCGCACAAAGATATACAATCGTCACGGTTCAGATTCGCCGTGCTTGTTTAGAATATAAAAATTCTCTCCTGTAAGTGGTTTTTCAGGGAGGTTCAAACTACGGCTTTCCAACAAGTGGGGCTTAATGACACAACCACTGACAGAACTAGTAAAGCAAAGTTTTCGGTTGCTAGTGGTGTATACATTAGTGATAATAATGGCCATTGATATATACCTATACACGAAGGCGACGGCGTTGTGTTCTTATGAGGCTGAGTTTTAAAAATCTCAGATACAGTTTCAGGAGTTAGTATTTGTAAGCTTTATAGAATAGGACAGAAGGTGGATTCTGAAAGTCCTCAGAAAAACCACCTCTTGAAGGTTACATTTGCCACGGTTGAAGTAAGGAACCTGATTCTAGGTAACTCACGTAAACGGATTGGATCCGGAATATACGTCCGTGAGGATCTCAGCCTAGCTGATCGTATTAAGAGGCGAGCTGCAGAAGCGGAAATAAATGAGCGTCACCAAAACGGTGAAAGAAACCTCGTTCTTAAGGGTTTTCAAATTGTAAAAGTTCGGAGCAAAACGATCCTCAAATCACTCTGGGTGGCAAGGGTAAGTTCTCCACAGACTTGAAGGTATGCTACACAAATGCTCGCAGCCTGCTAAATAAAATGGTGGAGCTCAAGTCAGTGGTGGATAAAGAAAAACCGGATGTTATTTGCTGGGATATTCAGGAAAATATCCCAGAAATTATTCTATTAAGTCTAATGCTATTCTTGGACTTGGAGGGGGTATTACTTACTTATTGGTCGGTACTTATTTCACGTGTCATTTCCTACTGGTTAGTATTGTACAATGTTATTTTCTATTTTATCGTACGATGTGGTCTGCTTGACTGGTATATAAACAAAGTATGTTTGGAATATAATGATTCATATCTCCGAGGCTGTGACTTGTGTTCTGGACTCAACTGGCTGGCTTAGACGGGTAAGCGGGACCAATCAGAACCCAAGGCTGTTCTACGTGTTTGTGCGTCTTTAGTCCGATCAAAAATTCGCCTACCCTTAATCAGCAGCTTTATTTTCACAGTTATAACATTGTTGCTATCTCGGAAACTTGGTTAACGTCAGAAGTATTAGATAATGAAATTCAGTTGACTGGTTTTTTAATCAGTAGGGCTGATATATTAAACCGTAGGGGAGGCGGGGTTATCCTGTACACGAAAAGTACCCTAACCAAAAGAGTAGCTGAGACAGTGGCACATGTGAACTGGTGCGATGTAAGCTGAAATGTATACGGCAAGATATTGAATTAGTTGTAGTATATCGCAGTCCAGAATGTGAGGCAGATGATTTTCTCCTAAGTAAACTCAAGTCCTGGTGTAACAAGGGTAAAAGCCTTGTAGTAGGTGACTTTAATGCACCGTATATAAACTGGGTTAACTTAGAAGTAGGGTCATCGATAACGCCGTTCGGTTGCAAACTGTTAGAAACCCCAATCGGATTAGCTTTATTCCAACACATTAGAAACGCATTAGAAGGCTCCTTACTCGAACACTACCAGTCGAGTCAGCGCTTATGGAGAACTGTCATCTGCTTTTGCAACCTCAAGTGGTGTCCGCCAAGGCTGTCCACTTTATCCATTTTTGTTTAACTTCATCATAGACCTATTGATGGAAATAACATTCTCGTCTACTGAATTCTCGGGTATTGATCTCCTTTCAGGAGGTCCACTTATCGACTTAGAATACGCAGATAACATAGTCCCGTTTGGTGAAGACGCTGACAAAATGCAGAGTCTTCTGGTAGCACTAAGCAACAATGCCAGAATGTTTGGAACGCGCTTCTCTTCCTCTAAATACAAGCTGCTGCTTCAGGACTGGTCTGCGTCAACACCTGAACTAAGGATAGGGAGTGAAGTAGTCGAACGCGTCGGCAACTTCACTTATCTTGGAAGTCTGATCAGCCCTAATGGGTTGGTGTCTGACGAAATCTCAGCACGGATTCGAAAAGCTCACTTGAGTTTTGCCAACTTACGTCACCTATGGCGAAGGCGAGATATCCGTCTATCAATAAACGGACGAGTATACTGCGCGGAAGTCCGTTCTGTTTTAATTTACGGCAGCAAAACATGACCATTAAAAGTAGAAGACACTCGTAAGCTACTAGTATTCCACCACAGATGAAGTTGTGAATCTTCATCGACTGAGATGGTTGGGCCACGTGTTACGTATGCCTGAACACCGATTACCACGACGTGCAATGCTAACCGGTGTTCGGAATGATTAGAAGAGAGTTAGGGGTGGCCAAACCAAAACGTGGCATCAGTGCTTGAAGTCACCAACTTCTAGTCTGAGCCATGTTGGGAGATGCAGACTACTTGGTTGGGGTCCGCGTGACTACTGTAACCAGTGGTTGGAGACTCTTGGTGACATGGCTCAGAATCGATCACAATGGCGTCGGTGTATACACTCTCTATCTTCCCTTAAACTAAGAGATTAAAATCGCTTTATATCTTTCTTTCTACGAACTAATTCTTTCTTCATGTACTATCTCCTTATATGCAATCTTTATTTTATATATCACCACCACTGAATTGACCACTTCTGTGAATCCGGTGTTCATCTTGTTGTGTTAATGAGGTATGGCAACTTGGACCGACGCATATATGTGCCTGGTCCTACGTTGTAGCTGACTGACTGACTGAGAAACCCCACAAGATATGATTTAAGAAACTCTTCTTCTCTTACAGATTTAGTCTTCACACACGGTGATGAAGTTGGTCAAATGACTTTCCTCCCACCACTAGGGAGAAGTGACCATGCAGTCATCTTATTCAAATTCATGGCTGAGATTGCCTGTCAAACAGTTGCGCCAGCCCGTCCTAATATATGGAAGGCAGATATGGAGGCAATCAACTCGGCAGCATCGGCTGAAAACTGGGAAATTGACTCAAGGGCATCAGTACAAGAGGCATGAACTCCTTTTCAGGCGGTTATACAATTGGGTAACTCAACCATACATACCCAAAGAAGAAGCACGGTCATCCCTGAATAGGCCGGGATATTCGTCGTTTACTAAGACAAAAGAAGAAATGCTGGGATGTTGTCATCCGCCTTAGCACAGAAGGTACGATCGAACGCTACAGATCGGTAAGAAATAAGTGTATAACAAAAATTCGGGGAGCTCAAAGAAAATATGAAGTGCAGTTGGCACAATCTGCACTCAAGCAGCCCAAGAGAATATTCGCGTACATAAACTACAGAACAAGGATGCATCATTGGATTCCCAACCTAGTTAAAGAAGGGAGTGAATCTGAAATGATCAGGAAAAAGCAGAGGCTATGGTTGACTACTTTGGGGCAGTTTCCACTCAGGAACTTCCTCTAGACAAAGGACCAGACCAAAATAAAGAGTCAACAAGCCACCTGTTCACCGTGGACTTCGATTAAGACGATGTGATTAATGCTATTAGCACCTTAAACATGGAAAAGTCAACAGGACCAGATGAACTACACCCCAAAATCTTGAGACATATTGCACAATATATCGCGGCCCCACTGACTGTGATATTCAATATGTCACTTGACCAAGGTGTGTTACCTATGGATTGGAAGGATGCAATCGTCACTCCCATACATAAAATAGGACCAAGAAAACTTCCAGCAAACTACAGATCTGTCAGCCTCACCAGTGTCGCTGTTAAAGTGCTTGAAAGAATAGTCAAAAGAACCATAATGACATTTGTGGAAACCAACAACTTGTTAAACAACGAACAACATGGTTTCAGAAATTTTTATCTTGCATAACAAACCTCCTTACAGCAAGATAACAATGGATAAAGGCTATAGACAACGGAAAATCAGTGGATGTTGTCTACATAGCGTTTAACAAAGCGTTTGACAACGTGTCAACAAATAGACTGCTGTTGAAGCTAGAAAATCTTGGTATTGCCGGACCTCTCCTAAAATGGCTCAAGAATTTCCCATTAGGTCGTAGACAAAAAATAAGAATAAATTCGAAGTGCTCCACCTGGAGACCAGTACTTAGTGGAGTACCTCAAAGTTCTATCCTGGGTCCTTTACTTTTTACACTGTATGTAAATGATATCCAATGTATAGTAGAGACCCCAATGTTATTATACACTGACGATGTAAATATCTGTAACGGTAGACACAGATGCACTTCAAGCTGACATAATACAGTGGTTAACTGGTCTAAGGAGTGGCTGATGCCTATAAACGCGGCAAAATGTGACTACATACACTTTGGTGGATACAAAGGTAAATAGATACAGCATAGATGAAGTGCCTGCACCCGTGGTCTGGTCTCACAAGGACCTTGGGGTGGCAGTGACTCATGATCCTAAGACCACGGTTCATTGCCGAGATGTCACAGCTAAAGGGTTTAGAACCCTCTGCGCTTCAAGACGGACATTCGCAAAGTTAAATACTACTATGTTCACTACAGTATACACAACCTTAGTGAAAACTAAGCTTGAGTACTGCGTTCAGTCTGCAAGCCCCTGTTTAAAAGGTGACTCAAATATCGTGGAAGTACAGAGGGTAGCTACCCGTGCAATGCCAGAACTAAGGGGTTTATCATACAAAAGGGGCTTGAAAATCTAGACCTCTTGACTCTGTCCTATCGCAGATTAAGAGGTGATCCGATTTTGATGTATGGTCGTAGTATATCTTTTCTTTTTCTTCCTACAAGATCGGGACATCTAAGAGCCATCAATTCTTGGAACCTGTTACTTGGAGCAGTGGTGTCTGGACCCTCAATTGACTCTTTCAAGAGAAGGCTGGACACTCACAGAGGCATACTAGAAAACGAATAACATAGGCCGTAGACTTTCTGTCCTTACTACATGAATCTGAATCTTTAGAAAATCCCATCAGCATTATTAGAAAGTACGTAAGATTGGTGTTTTGTCAACAAGGTTACCACTCGCCGTACTTCTTGAAGGTAACAACATTTAACAACTGGATGCGAAATTTTGCATTATATTCCGTAACCATCTAGTAATACTGCAACATAATATAACGAGCCTAGGCAAAAGAACTTGTGATTAGGGTGGTGTAGTACGAGAAAGCAAAGTAGGAAAATTATTTGGTCGTGAACTTACTTTCTAAAAAGCCCAAATAGCCAAATCTGACAAGGAAAACTCACTGCCATTGATATACGTGGAATTAACGAGTGCTTTGTCAATCTCCTTTCCAGCCCAGGCAAAATCACACTGTGGTTGGAGATAGACTGTGGCAAACCTAACCCAGTTATAAGTCTACTTCTTAGGGTGTGAAAGGCTGGGTACTTACTTGCAGGTCATCTTTTCCAGCGATACCCTTCAGTGCCAACCTGAAAAAATGACATGAAATTTGTGTCAAACATACTTAAGACTATCCTCACTTAACCCAGGGATATGATGCTTGAGGGAATCTTCGAAAGCTTCTAAACCTAGAGAAGAACTTTAGACAATAACAGTCCTTACACACACACATGGCCGGACGAGTTGAGCTGACGATGACCTTGAGTATATGTTGAGCGCTCTTAAAAACTCAAAACAATTGTTTGCAGAAATTATGACAAATTTCACCTGTAGGTTCTGTATTTGGTCGACGAGAGAACATTTTTTGATACGAAAGAGCGTATTTCTTATTCTGATCCTTCTAAATCTGAATGTCAAAAACATTAATAATAGGCTGTGATCGAGGACTAACACATAGAGTATTACTCCTCAGTACCTGCGGAAATAAGTTAGACGTCATTTCTCTCACCAAAGAATTTAGAAGGTTTCGTCATCATCACTTTCGATAGCTATCACCATGATTTCGTAGTTCTAACTGTTAAAATGTTCGCACGATTTTCACACGGGTGGTCTATTTAAATTAAATCCTTAAGCCACTCCTTAATTATTTACAGGAGACTTACTCTTTACGCAGTTCCTGTCAGTGGTGAGTAGCTCATATACGTTTTCTCTTTCTAACAACTATGGGTTAGGCGGGGAATTTTTTCTGTTATGTTCCCAGAATTTTCTTGTTTGTACCTCAATTTATCTGCAGTCTGCCGTCACAAGCTTTGTCCAGTTATACGTTTTGGCAGACGACAGCCAAAAATAATTAGTCACAATGCAGCTGAAATGTCTGTCGGATAAGAATGTACGCCTTATCTTTCAATAAATAACGATTGGTAAAACTCATAGTGATAGTCAGTTGATGGAAGGAATGTTTATAATACATCGAGTAGAAACAAATGATCCGGTTCGCTAATAATTATACGAAAAAATATATACACATGTTAACAACCCGAAGTATAATTCCAAAGGCTACCACTTTAGCATAATAGTTATCTCTTTCCATATCACTTGCAAAGTGTGGCCTGTTGTTTATGTTTAAGGCCATCGCATTAGCAATTTGCTTGCCGCATCTCCCTGATCTGATTCCAGGTTCACCAAGAAAATCAACAACAGCTTGGTCATCTAGCATTTTTTTCTGCTAAAGCATGCAACTCAGTTGTATTTTGATACTTAGTCATAATGGCTTTATAATAAATTATTTTGACTGTGCCTATATTCGAAGATTTCCAAACTTCTTGAAACCTGATTCAATCATGAGAATGAATACTTTACGTCTGCTAATGGTTCAGAATAATAGTAAATCTCTCTAAGTTTCCGTTTACTATATAAACGTCAATAACGAAAAGCTTTTGATGATGAACAGAAGTGTAAAATGAATACTTTGACGGCCTATTAACACAAAGTATCTATAAGGTTCGAGTGAATTAAATCTATTGGCCGAAAACAAGTATCCTCTTTCACTTGAAATATAGAATTTTACTGAGTTCAACTCAGTCAATACAATTCCCTTACCTGATGAGAATAATAGTTATCTATTTCTACCTTTGAAGAAAATTTTCATTTCACCTAAACTTAGTGACATTCATTAATTCCGTTCCATCAATTTTCGAGTCGATTTTACGGATTTTGATCAACTGACGTATTGAAAGTGAAATTCTCGGCCAATTTACCTTTATTGAGAATGGAGTCAAAACTTCAGGTATAAACCAAACTACATGTCCACTATATATAGTGTTAGATCACTTGCAGAGTGAATAGCTGTGGAGTCACAAAGCCACTGTGACAAGTATTTGCAAGTCACTGCACATATCAGATCAGCGCACTTCAGTCTATCTACATCTCTAGTTTAACCTTAAGATACGGTTACGGCACTTTTCATGGAATTGTTTGTGCTTCTGTTTTTCTCCTGTCAAATGTCCGTAACCTATTGTGTCAAGTGTCCTTATGGAGCCAAACATTTTTTTTGGAAAAGTCAACAAATAATTTCCTAAGTCGTTTGGCTGCTTTGAAAATAATGACTCCAAAGTACTAGGAGACCTTGGAGTATTCTAATTAACTCTATACATTTTATGTGTAGGTATAGCGTCCATTAACATTGCCACCCATTTTATTCAAGTAATTTGCCATCTGAAAAATCTAACAACATAGTGTGAACTACAGAACATGATAACACTACATTAAGGTACGTCGCCAAATTAGCTAATAATATTCTCCCTTGGGAAGTGGTGTTTACAACCTATGCTTACCAGATTGATTGATTCTTTGTCAATAGAAAGAAATGTTTGCACAGTCTGGCGAAAATATGGACAAATTTGGTAGATCCCAGAAAGATTAGCGTCAAACCTGAGAAAATGAAGACAGATGTGAATTTGTTTCTATGCCTTACGGAGCCAGTCACATCTATGTATTCATAATATTTGTCGAGTTAGGAAATTGACTGGTAAATAAAGTACACGGTAGTTTCACTTAATTTGGTGATACATAATCGTGTCAACAGCATTCATGTTTGAAAACTGAAATTAAACTGCTCATCTATTGGAATTCAAGGGAATTACGAAATGATAAAACTGTATTTGTATCGTGGTTAACTGAACGCTTAAGACTTCAAAACTTTGGGACTACTGTAAGGTCCTCCTATATATAAATATATATATATATATATGATCTATTTTATGTAATTCAAATACAATTTTACGAATACGATTGAGTACTACGGTAGCTGTATAGTCATGAAACGCTATTCGTTTGAGTATTTGTGCACCATATTTTTAAAACCATACCAAATTACATCAAATAATACCCCTTGCTTTTCTCTCGTTCTTAGAAGTGGAGAACAATGAGCCACCACCGCATCAGTAGGGAGCATGCAGAGCCAGAAATTCAAAAGCTTGGGTGTCTCAACTGGTGGTCAAGAAGTTTGTTCCTGCTTTTCAGTTATGAATAAGGTTTTTTAAGATAATAGATCTTAGTTGTTGGTAGTTGGTGTACTTTGCTGAGTAGTGTTTTCGGGAGTGTCGTATTTTTATTTCAAAGGAAAATCTGATTGTAACGACGTAATGAATAATATCTTGGCAAACGTTATGGACAGAGCTAAAATAGTTTGGGCTATGTAGTGATATTGGTTTTCATCGTCACGATCCTTGAAGCTGAACATTTGATAACCCAGAAATTTTATAATTTAAACTTTAGACCACAGAGAAGGTCATAAATGGTAAATAAGGGACAGCTTGGTGTTGCACGGTTAGGTCGAGCAGGTGTGATCTTGCTTTCCACATGGAATATGCTATTACTCACAAATACCTTATAGGCATATAAGTGTTGTGAGGAAACCATTTCGGGCTTTTTCAGAAATGCAATAATACAAAGGTTTTAATAATTTTAGTATTGTATTTGCTATATCATTGTGACTATATAAATTTCAGTGACAAAATTCATGCATTTGACTAACGGTAGCTCTACTCGATCAAATTAGCTCATACGTACATTCATATAGTCATTCATACAGTCATATAGTTTCACTGTGCACGGAGTCGTTTCTCCCATGCAGATTAAAATGACGGTAGATGAATTTCAGTTATCGAGTCAGTATCACCTCAGCTAAAACTGTTGTTGGAACGGCCAGGTTGTGTCTCTATATTATAACAAACTTAACTATACGATGTTTATACGGTAATAATTGAGTGAATTTTACATCCAGCGTTTCATATGACTTAGCCATGTATTCTGAGTACTTAACATTGCTTTTCAGATTTTAAAACTCTAGCGGACTTGGATTACTTACTCGTTGTATAAGTGAAGCTTCGATATATGGAGCATACGGAATTTCGCGATGGGCTTTTCGAACTAACTCGGAAGTTCTGACATTAAAAACCCTGCTTAAAAGAATAAGCTATATAGCATTTTCACAGGCACTGACTTAACAACGCAACATTGTTTTGTCTGAACGCCGTAAGTCAACAAACCAATGATAACTTTTGACACCAAACAAGCAGTTAATAACTTTAACGTTATGAACTTATTATTTTATGGTATACGCTAAATCAGAGGACAGGCAAGTCTTCGTTCCTGAGATTTCAACTGAACTAGTTTCAGCTGCGAATAAACCCTCAGGGTACGCGGCTTTGTAACTGTTCAACGTAAGGTGGTCTTATTAGTTTCAGAGGATAATAACGGATGAAGGCTCTCTATCATGCATCATTTCTGAATCACAGTAGAGACTAAGTGTATTCTTTACCTAACAATAAGCAATTAACTAAGGAGCATCACATCCGTTTTGCCCTGTCTTCTGTCAAATTTATTATTTTTTCCAACTCTTAGAACCTATCTTCATATTTGCCCATATTTTGTTATACTTTAATTAACTGGATACAGTCATCACCGAATTTAGCCATATCTAGAGCATTTAAAAAGAGAACTACTGACAATTATGACTGTTGATGATGAATAACTTATTAAATGCAATTGAAAGAACCGAAAAACTGGAACTGGTATCCGCATTAAGAAGCTCAAGTAAATCAGCTTTTAGGCAGATTTTGTCCGAGGTCACACATTACTGAGTGTTCTGTCTTTTTGATACTTCGAATCATGTGAAATTGAACAGACCGGCCAGGATAACCATCTTTGGGATGCAAAATAAAAACCAACTAAGTTGTTACTTCACATGCCTTGACAGATCCCCTTAGGCGGTTGTTTCGCTTCCACAAGGTTACTGCATCCTCTTGCTTTTTTCTAAACAAACGTGGCATATGTTCAAATGAACAAAACTGCTTTATAACTTCAATTCACATGATCAAAGACCTTGGCTGATCTATACTAGACTGTATTCTTCGACTCATAAACGATACTTAAGTAGATTTGAGAAACCTAGGTGGTTGAGCTCATCCACTTTCTAGATGTATTAAAAGTTTATACTAGTATGTAGACTAGCGCATGATGGGTTCAGCGGGGGCTTTAGTTTACAAACTAAATCTAAA